TTTTGCCTTAGTGAACTATTTGATTGATACTATTTGATTGATTCCCTCCCGTGGACGTAGATCCAGTTGGATCGAATCACGTAAACGATCTATGTTTGCTTGTGTTTCTTTGCGTTTCATTTATATGCCAGGAAGTACATATCTTACAACAATTGACGCCGTCTGTGGGAAGATCCATACTTCTTGGCTAGAGGTGTCCGTGTAAAGGTGTTCGCAGCCAGCGACGAAGAAGAGGAGTTCGACATTCACAAACAGAGGAGCAAGCGGATCGTGTCGCAGGTAGCCGAATCGCGAAAGATTCGGTGAGCAGTGAAAGCTTTGATCGACTGGATTCGCACCGCAGGTTAAGAGCGCACATTGAAGGTTTCGGGGAGTTCCCTGTTCAGGAGTTCACGAAGCAGGAGGACCTGAGCAGTTTGGCGAGGCGCAACGGCTCTGGAGAGGAAATTATTCTCGTACGAGAGGCGAAGGAGGAATTTCTGATTTGTTCCGCTGGACGCAGAGGAGTGCCTGCGGGAAGGAGGCGCGAGCACAAAACAAGAATTTTTCTCTGGTGAACAGGTGTGATCTCCGTCAGAAGGGATCGGAGCTCTCCGTTCGGTTGGCGAAGGCAGTGGAGTTCCCGGGGAGAAGGTAAAAAATTTGGTGAGAATTTCTTGAACAACAAGGCGTTGAAAGGCAGGTTTAGGCCGAAAACTTTTGGTTGCTATACAATAGTATAGCATTTTGGTGATTTCAGTCAAGTTCTTGGAAGGGCAGCAGATAGAATCCATTGGAAGAAATCCTAGCCACGACAATGAGTTTCGCCAAATTCGACATTGAGAAATTCAACGGGAAGAACAACTTCAGCCTATGGAGAGTAAAGATGAGAACTCTATTTGTTCAGCAGAGTGTTGCAGAAGCCTTGCAAGGGTCGGCGACATTGCTAGCCGACAAGATCGAGAAGGAGAAGATCGGCATACTGGACAAGGCTCACAGTTTGATAATCCTGAGCTTGGGCGACAAAGTTCTGAGGGAGGTGTCGAGGGAGACAACGGCTCAAGCACTTTGGGCCAAACTCGAGGTACTCTACCTGACAAAGTCTTTGGCTAATAGGCTCTTTCTGAAGCAGCGCCTATACTCCAAAATGCATGAAGACAAATCCGTCTCAGAGCATATCGACGAGTTCAACAAGATACGTACCTACAAGTTGAATTCTCTCATAGCAGATCAAAGAGATCGACGAGTTCAACAAGTTGAACGAGTGCTGAAAAAATGTCAGGTACGTACTAGAGCTCAAAAGAAATCTGATTTATTTAAGTACGCTGGAGTCAAGCGAATGCTCGTTCAAGGCAGAGAATGGCTGCATCAGAGTAACCAAAGGCCCTCTTGTCGTCATACAAGGAGTCAGGAAAAAGGGGTTGTACTCTCTTATCGGAAGAACCGTGATTGCTAAGTCCATGTACTATTTGGACTTAGCAAACCCAAGCAAGGGCTAAGGGCCCCTCAGAGGCCAAGTGGAGGGAATCTTTACTTCAAAGCTTCTCAATTGAGGGTCAAGGTGGAGAATTGTTATTTTGACCCCCCAGTTATTGAACTAAGGTAAAAGGGCACTTTTGTAATGTGGTAACGCTCACCTACCACATCTCACCTACCGCTCACCTACCTCACACCTACCACTCTCTTGCTTCTATAAATAGAGAGGGTGTGATGCTTATGAGAGCAAAAGAAGAGCAAGGGAAGAGATCTTGAAGAGATCTTAAGATACCACAAAGGAGGAGAGAATAACCAGAGAGCTAGAGAGGAGGAGAGCATCTTGAGGCATTGTATCAAGGTGTCGCTTGAGAGGGAGGCCATAGAAGGCCCCAGTTGCTAATTGCTTTTACTCCCATAATAAATTTTCTACTCATGCATAATCTTCTCTTACAGGTTTGTACCAGCGTCTCATATTTCATGTAGCATCATTTGGGCCCAACTGCAAAACCTTCAGCTTTAGGCAAAACATAATTTTTCCATATACAAATTCGTAGTAAACACAAATAAATGTCGTAATTTCAGGAACTGCAAAAGAAGAATACTCATTCTCTGCAAAATTGAAGCATTTATCTGCACCAAAGTTCTCCCGAGACCTGCAAGAATTATGATAAAAGGAATTTAATAATGCAGAATAACAAAGATGTAAGATAAAACACAAAATATTATTTGGAAAACTTTCAAATCAATCTCTCTATTAGAATATAATAGCACCTCTGATACAGGCCTGAAGGCATTTCTTGCCTACACAGACACTCCCAAGATAAATAACAGGTTATAATGCTGAAGCCACATTCAATATTGGTATAATGTTGAAGACATAATTATGCCCAAACCAACACCTATTAATGAGCAGCATACTAAAATGCTTATAAAATGCAGCTTGGGTGTTAACTTCGTAATTATACATTTTTGCCAAGAAAAAAACAGGCTCCATCTCACATACAGAACAACATACTAAAATGTAGCCTTGCTAAACAGGCTCCATCTCACATAAAATTCAAGATCCATTCGAAAATGATGTAGCATATGAAAGCCAACCACAGATCAATCTCTACTAAAATCGTAGCAGCTCTGATACAACTCAAGCTATAATGATTCAAATGATGAAGCCAACCATTATAACATATTACTTAAAACATAGATATTAAAGCCAACCATGATTACTTCACAAAACTGTTCAGAATTCCAAGAGGAAATATAGTTTTACAAATGCATTCGAAAATGATATCGACACCATAAGTTTGATAAAAGGATTTGAATGTGAAATAAAGGATGTGGAGTAATTCAGGAATCGCATATTGCATCTGTTATACACTCCCTCAGAGCAAT